GCAGAGAATAGCATACTCTTAATAGCGGGATAAAACAGTTAAAAAACATAAAGTTAAGCATACAATGGGCCTCCATTAAAAAATTACATTATGAGCTAGCTCCTGTCTGAGGCCAAGGTCTGAAAGTGCTACAACTGATTTCTGAGTTCATATGCAGCTTCTTTTACTGCATTCATGCCAAGTTCATAAGGATTATGAGAAAATTCAGCAGATTAGGCCTTTAAACCGGTGTCGCCAAACTAAGTAGAAAAGTGTCAGATATGGCTAAGCTACTCAAGGCATCAGGGTATCTAGAAAACACTGATATTGATATCCTAGCTTGAAATTTCAGATCAGGTGCTCTGCCTTGTGCTATGAAGAATTTATTCCCTGCTACAAGGGGGTTTTTTTCCATACTTTGCCTAACATAAATTTCTATTCCTCTCCATTCTCATTTTTAAATGCCTGTCTTTTTAAGAAGTTTCTCGTGACATTAAAGAGGTACATCATATTCTTGCATCACATTCTGAGCACAGTTAGGCTTTGACTTACACCAAGCTTCTAGAAGACACTGCCAGCACTGCTCTATCTCCCGAACATTTTACCCAGGGCATAGGCAGCTCACGCTTTCTGCAGCAATTACTATACGAAGTACCCAGTGATGTAGCTTTCCCAGAAACTGAAAATAAAGTTATAAAAGAGATCCACACAATAATTTATGGGAGTTAACATATGGGTGTAAGTTTCTCTGGGGATAATTATGTGACTATGCTAATAATGCCAAGGATGATTTGATACATTAAAACAAATTCTCACAGTGATGTTCTTGAGCATTTCATTACTGTAGGGAGTCAGGAGTGTATATATTTGAACAGGAGAGAGGAATGAGAGGGGTCCATATGTCTTTGCAAAAATAACCTTCTCCCTTCATGCTGCAGGCAAGCTGAGGAAGCCCTGTTTGACACAGGCACTTACATTAGATGTGTTTACTGGAAACTGCCTGTTTTGAGAGCAGAAAACTACACAAAGTGCTCTGAGAGGGGAGCAGCGTGTGTGGTTTGCAAGAATAGCTGGAAGAATGGGCATTACTGACTGTGAAACGATCAAAACTTCCTGGGCTTTGCAGGAGTTCCATACTTTTAAAAAGTGCCATCTAGCACACTTTGAAGCAGACTTTGCTGTGGTTCAGAAATACACCTGTGGACGTCTGTGACAAGTCCAAGTGCCAGGCTAAGTTAGCATGCCTTGGAGAAAGGAAGGTTCCCAGCTCAGTCAGAGAAATTTCTCCCAAAGCTTCCCTTGACTCGCTGGCAGACAGCTGGCACGGAGCCCCAGGTGTCCTTGAGAAGCTCTCCAATATCTTGCTCATCACTCCCATCATGAGGGCTCTGTATATTTTCAGGCATTGTGGAGGCACCAGAAGCTGTGCCACCACAAAGGCTGCCCTGTGAAGTGGGCTCAGGCTTCAATGCCTCTGCCTGTTTTCCAGTATTGTAATTTCCCAGCTGGAATTATACTTCACACAGTTTAAGTTTTTATGCCTTCAGATTGTGTGGGGTTTTTTTGTTTTTTTTGTTTTTTTTTTTTTTAGTTTTTCTTCTTGTGAGACTAATGTCTAATCCTTTGACCTCTTGCATTAAGTCTGTGTAAAATTGCACTCTTCCAACACAGCAAACCACTACCCTAACAATCCACAGTTACCAGTGTTACAGAAGCATCCTCAGGGATACAAGGGTTTATAGAAAAATCATCAGGGTTTTTTTTCTGAGCAGTGACAGGGAGACAGAGTTCTGCCCTTGCTCTGGGATGGCAGTGGCCGTGGTGAGGGTAGGAGATGTCCCAGTGGGTGAGCGAGTGGCAGGCGTGTATTTCGAGAGGCTCTACCTGCATTTCCTGCCTCGCGTGTGGGGACCAAGTCTTAGCTTGTGGAAATTATTACAAGGCAATTTATACCAAACAACAATCCCTGCTGTTGTGTTTGTTACAAACTTGGCTGCAGTACAGTAGTGTTTAGTGGATTAATAATGTCTGCTTTTGGCCTCTCCTGTTCCCTCAGCAAACAATTTTCATGTATAATAAATGTTCACATTTAGTCTAACTAGAACAGAGCCTGAGGGTCAGAATAGCCATACCTGCACACTGAGGAGAAGAGGCTCTGGGTTTCCAGACGAGAGGCCAGCTTTCTCCCCTGTCCATGCCAGGGTCCAGTCCTTCTGCCCTTTTGCAGGATCCGCTTGGCTGGGCAGGTCCCTCTGCAATGGCAGAGGGGGCAGCACCAGATGTCCCCTTCCGCAGGAGTAGGTCTGTCCAGGCAAAAGGGTCGCAGTGGGCAGCAAAGGCAGCACAGAGTCACTGAGACAGGCAGATATTTCCTGACTGTTTGGCATTTTGAAAAAGAACAGCACATTTTAAAATTAAAAAGTCTCTAAGTATCTCTATAAAAAATACAAAAATAAATATTTCACACCAATAATCGATCACAGTGCATGCTGTGAGGGCATATGAGGTTGAGTAAGTGGTGTATGGTCTTGCCTTTGCACAGGAAGCCTAAGAGTTACAAACCCTTTAAAAATCTATATGGTTTATCTTGTTGATTATCAGTCTCTTTCAGGAAAGAAAGAGTCTGTCCATGTTTCATAATGTGTGTAGTAGAAATACCAGCATATGCAAATATGGAAGTTACACAATGGAAGCAAAACTGAATTAAAGCTGTTTACAGTCGAAAAAAGAGAGAACCAGAACTGCAGCCTTTTTATTGCTACACCACTGAAACAAGTGTGTGCACAACCTGGCTGTTTAGGTGCTTGTGATGTTGTATGGTACAACTGTTTCTCTCCATCTTCCCACTGCTGTTTATGCCTCCTCAGTAACAGCTCAAATGGAGGCTACCAGTCTTGGGCATAATGAAAGAGGAATGTTGTAAGTGTTCTTGTGAAGCTTTACGACAGCTATCAATTGATCAAATAATTAAGAATAGCAATCAGCACTTAAAGTCAAGTGATGGACTGTTGACTTCCAGCCTGGGGAGCGGGGCTGTGGCAACACTATTGTGACAGCCAGTGGATGGAGACTTTTTGCTATTGGACTCTGTGACCCAAACGCTGTGGCTGAGCATCTACCATAAGAAATACAGGTTGTGTCATAGGTCCAGGTGCCCTCTGATGCACCACGGGAACCGCACCAGCAGTGTCTCCCGTGAAGGATTTCTCATCGTTCCTGTACACTGAGGTCATGCGTATGCAAAGCTGTGGACAAGATATAAGAGGTCAGACGGGTAGGTTAGCTTAGTGTCTGCCATGAAAAGGTGGGCAAGAGAAATGAATTTTATCTTGGCTTATCTGAGTGATGCCCTGCCATCCCACTGCTCAGCGTTCCGTGTCACTGGCAATTTTCACTGCCACAAATAGGTGTTGCTTGACCACAGCTAGTAAAACAATGAAAAGTATATATGTAAAACAATTTGACATCACAGAAAAAACATTATCAAGCAAATTATTTATCAAATGTTATTTGGTCATATGCAGGGAAAAGAAAAGTACCGATTTCATGCAGAATATCTAGGCTATCTACATTATTTTCACGGAGCTATGAGACGCGGGTTTGCCTTTGATCCAGATTGACTAAATATGAAATCTATTCCTGCACAGCTCTCCTCATTAAGCAGGCCAGATACATTATTTCTTCAAGAAGTATGCACAAATGTTTTCTGAAATTAATTTGTTTGGTACGTTGTTGTTCAGTTGATTTTTCAGGGTGAAAAGGGAAGGAAATCTTCAACACCTTCTTGTGGTTATGGGGTATTTCTTTATATCACCTTCCTTTGAAGACACTGTTGTGGAATATCAGTGGTATGGACTATGAACACAGCCAAACAGAAATATTAGTGGGACAGCCAACTCTTCAGACTGGAGTTTATATTAGCAATTCAGGAAAAAAATTACAAGTGAGATATAACCCTATAAATATATTTAGGAACATATTAAATGCAGATACACTTTTGAAATCTGAACCCAAGAGTGTATCAGGATTTTGCAAATTAGCTTTGTCTTTATAGTAAGTCCATGCAAACTTCAGGTCCTAAGGCTGAGACTGGAGGTATTGAAAATTAACAGCCACGTTTGTTGTAGTGTGAAAATGTAGGTGAAATAACATCTTCAGTCAAATATTTTCTTCTCTTTTCTTTTTAAATTTTTTTCCTAATTGTCTCCATTTTTCCTTTGGCAGCTATAAAACATTGTAACCAACCACAAATAGCTATAAAAATGGAAGAGGGAGACTGTAAACAGACCATTTTTGCTCTTAATTTATTTTGCTTATTCATATTTAGGACATCTTTATTTGTTTATAAGATTGCTGTACATGAATAAAAGCACTAGAAATACTCCCAAGCTATTGGTCACAAATGATTTAAAACTCATTTCTTCTCTAAAAATTAATCATATAAAAATGAAGCCTTCCCATCCACAGATCTACTCGTCTCCTTGTCTGTATCCAATTATATCAGCTCTTAAAAGAGATTCAGCCCAAACTGAGCAGAAACGCTGTGATTGATCTCAACAGCACCTGGAACATGGGGCAATTTTGAAGCATTTTGGGGTACTTTTCTCTTGCTAACTGCCCAGCTCTGACAACCTAGCTAACAAGACAGGATTCTGTTGTTCCTCCTGTCCCATGTCCAGCATCACTCACAAGGTCCCCCGGGGAGGCCTGTGCACGGTCGCTGACAGCGATGTGCTTTGGTGCAGCCTTGTCCAGCAGCGGCCCGGCCCGGCACTGGTGTCGAGAGGAGCCGGGGAGCGTGAAGCGTGGCTCAGCGCAGGCAGGGTCGGCTGGTCCGGCACCCGGAAAAAAACAGCCATCGTTTCCCTGCAAACTGCCTGCCTTTGTAGCTAATAAGGTGAAGACGTAACACATCTGGCAACTCACAGGGCCATTTTTCAGAGTGAAAACAGAGTTTAAGGGAGACATTTCCTACACTTTCTGTGTAACGAGGGGCTGTGCTGTTTGGGAGGAATGGTTCGTTATATCAATGTGGAAGCATCAGTGCAACTTTCGTAGTGGATTATCAAATTCCTGAAGGCTTTGTAGATGTTTTCATTCTGTGTGCAGATGAACCCACCACTTCGCCAAGCTTGCTCAGCAGCACGGTTTAAGTCTCCAATGCAGGTCCACTGATCTTTGTATTGCCTTGAAACAGCCCATTTGGAATGATCGTTAATGGAATAAAAGGTGGAATTTGATGGCATTCCTATTAGGTTTATGTTGTAGACGTAGTAGTCGAGAGAGCAATTTGAGGGAAGTTTTTGGCCAGAATGCTGCCAGGATTCAGCCAACAAATCAGTCTTCAGTTCCTGAGCCATCCAGGCCACATAGATATCTGTGGAATAACACAGGGTGTGGGAAATTAGTCTTTCATGTGCCTTCATTTAAGAGGGGACTGAAAAGCATCACCTAAACCAGGCTCGTTTCGTTCCAATGCATAAAGTAAGCCAGAGGGGATTTTGCCTCCTCCCCTTACTTTGACTTTCATTTCAGAAGTTCACTTCTACTTTTCCTCCTTCTCCTGGAAAACCTGTTA